TTTTTTTTCTGCTTCCTCCTTCATTAATCGTTCCATTTCTCGGTCTCATCTTGCCTCCGCTGCTTCTGCTGACAACTTATCAACAAAACGTTTTCTTATTCTTCTTACTGATTTTTCTGCTTTTGCACTTCGTGTTGTTGCTTTTTCTATTTCGTTATATCCTTTTAAATTGTAGTTTTCCATTTTTTTATAATATATTTCAATTGCCCGCGGTCTTTACGGCTCCGCGGTCTCCGTTTTCTCATTATTTTAATAACTCCGCAATTCTTTCTTTGATATCTGCTTTTGTTGTCTCCGTTATATCTTTACCTCCAAAAATTATTCTCCGTCCTTCCAAACAATTCAATTGATTTTGTAATTTTTCTATATACTTTTGCTTGCTTTTTGATATTTTTTTACTTGTAGTTTCCATGATTAATAAATTAATTGGTGCGGCTTCTTTACGGCTTCACCACTTTCCGTTTCATCAATTACTCTATATTATATTTTATTCTTATTTATATATATAGATAATAGAAAATTATAATGTAGTATCAAAACCATATATTAATTAACTTTTTGTTGATTACTTTATCGCTTCCTATCTATCTATATAATATATTTTAGTAAATAGAAAAAAGAACAGATTGCCCGCGAACCCCGCTATTTTCCGACAGTTTCTAAAATTTTAACCTTATTTTTTTAATTTTTGCGACAGCCATGAACCCCGTATAATAGGAGGCATCACGGCATTTTTGCCCCCTCAAATTTTAGATAATTTTAAAAAGTAAAAAATGGATGGTAGAAAATAGCGTCTGAAAATGGTCTAAACCTCGTATAAATACGGCATTCATGGCATTTTTTATATTCTGAAAATTAGTAAAAAATTAATCCAAAATCGCCCCTCAATTTTAAAAAATTAATGATAAAAAAAGAGGCAAAATTAGAATATTTTGAGGCTCAAAATGAACGAAAAAGGCTCTTCGGTCGCTCCCGCCCGGCTTCGCCGAACGGAAGCCACAGAACCCACTCCGAACTCCGACCACTGTCGGCCATTGGTCGGTCGTAGCGGTCTAGAATTTTACCACTTTCTAGCGGTAGCGACGAAATGGGAAAATTCCGTTAGTCAATTTTGAGCGGTAGCAATAAAATTGGCTAGCGTTAAATTCCGCTTGGTAAAGTGGAATTATGAGGCTCGGTAGAGCCGAGCAGATTGTTGGTAAACAATCAAGAAAGGCGGGGTTGAGGTATCAACCCCAAAGCCTTTCTGTCGGAGACCAAACTTTCCTCTAAGAGAGCCACAAAAAATTCTTGGTCCAAGGAAAATTAGCGAACAAAGCCAATTGAACTCTCACCATCCAAACAGGTTCAACAGAACTCAAACATTGATCGGCTTCCAGTAGACTTGGAAAAATCAGACCTAGCGACCCTAACGATTAGCAAATCGAGGGAGGAGTGAAGGAGG